AAACACAACCATGAGCTAAATAAATCTCTATTCTTTATAAGTTACCCAATATGTGTTATTTGGTTATTACAGCAAAAAATGACCAAGACAGTATTTGTCCTGAGACAAGCCCTCAAGCACACTTCAAGACAACAGTATGCCCTGGATCCAGCCATGGGGAGGTAGTTCTGTCCTACCCGGACCTGGACCCCCAGCGTAATACAACAGATGATCAACTCTAGAGATGCAGAGAATCTGGATCTGGCTCTGAGTGTTGCTGCTACCCAGGCCCAACCTTGGCATTCAGTCAATACAAGCTAAAGCGGCAAAGGAGAGAATGGATGGTGGATGCCATCTGGGGGGGGGGGGTCACTGAGACACATCTCGGCAAAGGTGTAGCAGGCAGCTTCGATGGAGGTGTGTTCCAGGAAGGAGAGAGATACCAGTGAGTGCCCAAGGGTGAAGTAAAGTGGTAGGAACTAGGAAGGACAAATCCTTCCTGGGTAGGGGCCAAGCCATGCATCAGGGAAAGAGTGGAATAAATACCTTTAAAAGGCTGAGGATTCCCAAGAAATTGTACTATTGTATCCACAAATCCCCAAAATAACAGCATCCGTTTATGTGCATGAACAAGGTGCCAGGCCCTCTTCTTAGCTCTATATGTTCATGTTGTAGTCTGCGTTCTGCTGCAATACCACAATACCTGAGACCAGGCAGTGTGTGAAGAATTGAAGTTCACTTGGCTCACAGTTCTGGAGACTTGGAAGTCCTGGAGCCTGGCACCAGCATCTGCCTGGCATGAGGTGAGGCCTTCCTGTGGCTTCATAACATGGTGTCACATGCCGTCCTGGGGCCCCCACCCTCATGGCCTCATCTAAGCCGAATCACCTCCCAAAGGCTCCACCTCTAAATGCCACAGACACATGATTTTGAGGAAGAAGTTTGCACAAACTTCTGGGGGAATACATTCAGACCACAGCCACGCATTCATTCATTTAATTCTCGCAGTGTTCTGTTGTCCTTGCCAGATAGATTAAATTGCTTGCTGGGTCACATGCACGTAAGTGGTGGGCTAGAATTTGAATGCAGGTAATCTGTGCTTAGCCTGAGTTCAATGGATTTGAAACTCTAGCCTTGTAGTTCTGAAATTTACTGCCTAAACTCAGGGACTGGTGGGAAATCCAAATGCGGCAGGCATTCTCTGCGCTATAGAAGTCTACTAAGGCCATGTGAGGTGTGCGTGTGTGTAAAATATGCAAACACATGGCATAAGTATATATTTTGCTTTACATATTTTTCAAATCAGAGCTCTGCCTGACATTCTGATTTAACTGCAGGTGACCTGAAGTGTGCACACATCATGCACTAACAGTGCACCTTCTTCTTTCTTTCCAGGCTTTGTCTTGAGAGTAGCCAGTGCCCCAGGCCTGGTAAGGGCAGCTTCACATCCTCCCTTCTCCCCTCTTCCTTCTCTTCACTACGTCCTACCCAGATGATCAGCTCTGTGTTTTTCTCACATTTCAACATGCACTTTCTGTCAGATTTCTTCCCTTTTTGTTTTGAAATTATGCCTCCTCTTGCCGTAACTTGAGGCTATACACGAGTTTCATTAATCTATACTTTGAGCACCAAATGTTCTGCTATTTTGGTCAATCCATTTGTGGACAAATATATTTTAGAAAAGATACAAAGTATTCACTTCACAACAATAGAAAACCAGACATAGAACATTAGATTGTAAAGTATTTTATAGTAATAAAAGAACTGGGAATATATTGGTGTTGTGTTTTATTGTACAAGCATAAGCTCAGTATTTAATATTTTAGCATAGGCATGCATTTATGCACATAAGTGCAACATGTAGTCATTCTGTAGATGGGCAGGTTCTGCATCCACAGATTGACTCAACCAAAGATAAAAATATCTTTTAAAAAATTGTATCTATCCCAAACATGCACGGAATTTTGTCATTATTCCTTTATAAATATACCACAGTGCCTATTCATATAGCATTGAGATTGTATTAGGTATTATGAGTTACCCAGAGAAGATAAAGTCTATAGCAGGATGTGTGTAAGTTCTACACAAATATTGCACCATTTCATTTTATATATAAGGTGCAGTGTTGGCCAATACTGGCGTCCTCTAGGGTTCTGAAGTCAATCTCTCACAGACACTGAAGGGTGACTATCTATGTCCTGTTATGGACTGAATTGTATTGCCAACCCTTTCACAGTTGTGAGGTCAAAATGTAATTCCTGATGGGCCAACAGAAGCATTGCAAAAGACCAAGTTTTCCATGTTAGTATTATTTATAGCCATGATTTACCTGTTGAGCTTAAGAATCTAAAGAAGGCCATTTAGGTAATGAGTGAAATATCCTGTTCTATTTGTTTTTCTCCTGTCAAAGTCCACACCAGCTAAAGAAGCACTTTAACTGAGTTGGACAAAACATTGTGTAGGAAATGCAACGTGAGATTGTGTTTAGGCTTCACAAATCCAGTCTACCCATGAATGGCCATGACACAGGTATGGTTTACTGTGATGCAGTCACTTGCTTGTCTTAAGTTCAGAGGGTTATTCATTAATGAAATGTTGTCTTACCTGACAGGACATTTATTTGCTCTTTTCTTTTGACCTGCAGTAGGGAGGCTATTTCTCTTATATTTTGCTTAACTGGCATATTTTAAAAAATAACTATTTGCATTTGTCTGTGAAAAATTTAACATTATGGCATGTGGTGTCAAAGTTTTATATATATTACCAATGAATTGTCAATCAGATATGGATCTATCTTACCTCAGAATCATTTAGCATAAAATCAGATAAAAAGAAATTATGATGAGGTATAAGAAACTCAGTTGTTCTTTTTAAAAACTTTTTTATGATTTAGGATGAAAGAAAATACTAAGCCATACCTAGCTGGGTGGATTTCAGTATTATCAGAATTTGGGTGAGACTCTGGGGAAGTGAATGTGTTTCAAAAGGAGATTCTCTATGTTACCTGATTTTTATTTATGAAATAGAATCACAGTGTGTATTTTTGTAACATCACTGCAAATTTGGTAACTGGGGAACTAGTTACAATTTCTGCATATTTTTGTGCTTTGCTTTTGTTTAGAAACTCATCACTAAAAACTGTTACCTATTCATATATTTGTGTATATCATAGAACATTTTTTAATGTCATAAGCTAAATGATTATCAGCTTTCCTTTAGGAGCTAGTTACTAGTGTATTCTCTTTTTTTTCTCTTCTGCATACTTTATAATTAGAATAAATGTCATTAATGAAACTTCTTCTAGGAGATCAGATTTTGCTTTTAAAGTAAAGCTACAGTGGACAATCCCTGTAGAACTCGTCTGAGAAGTTACTTTGCTTGGAACTGATTCTGGAATCCCAGGCAGCTTGGCGGTTCCATTTGGTAGTGGGAACTCAAGGGAAAGACACTCCATGTGCAGGGAGAACTTCCAGGATTAAGGAGGCCACATTGGCAACCATAGGCGCCCATCCCAGCGGTGCATGAGCACTGGGAGAGTCAAGGTCCCACCCATTTCCTCTGTGGTTTGTCCCTGGGGTTTTCCTTCCAGAGGAGCGCTGTGTCTTTAGTGATGCTTAAGCCCTCACTGTGTGCTGTGCAGAGCGGAGGTTCTATGCTAGGAAGCCCACCAGAGGCCTCTGGGACCCACTGACAGCCAGTGCTTGGGCTCTTGCAGACAGCTTTCTGCACTGAAGTGACGCCTACCGACCACAGTGGCGGTGACTTATAGGCTTGCGGAGATCTGTGCTTTGAGGTGTTGTTTTCATATTTACTTAGCTCCTTGTTTAAACTGTTGCACTTCAAACTTATGCCCATGTGGTTCTCTAGTTATAATGCTTGAACTTTAAACTCATCGGTCATTAACACTGTTCATGAAAGAAGCAAACATACTAATGTCCTATGTTGTCGCTAAGTTTTAGATACATTTGCTCCCATGCAGTGAGAGGATTCTGTGACTGTATGGAAACTTGTTTTGTTTTTTAACCTTAAATATTTTATTAACAGAATATATTTAATATTTTAAAAGTAGCTTTACAGTCATCTGAGATGGAAACCATTGATGGTTTCCATCAATGACCTAAATTTTTAAAGAACTGCTTATATTTGTGCTCAGCATGAAAATAAGATCTTTACACTAAATAAAAATTTCCCAGTCCCTGGTAATTGATTTAAAACTTTAAAAGTGAAGTTGATGGACGCCACTTCACTTTCAATTCTAAAATAAACCGAAGTTCAAATTTGATTAATACTTGAGTCCCACCAACTCAGTTTCTGTTAGACGCCGCAAGAGGGAGCTGTTGAACCTCCAACTAACTTTACTGGACTTTACACCCTAAATCTTAGGGTAAACTGTTCAAATAATCCGGCCTGTAAAATGTAACTTGCATTGTTATAAGCAGGGATTTTGTTTTTACTCCTATTAATGCAAAACGTATGCATACCGTTAAGAGATACTGCAGTTGAATTCCGTGGATAGTTGTGAGTGCGTGGTATTTGGAAGACACTATTTGAACAGGAATACAAAGAAATAACACAGGTGGCTCCTAAATGTGTGTCGGTATCTATGCACATCTGAGTACAGAATAGAACATAATACACAAGAAACACTTAAGAAGGAACAAAATATGTCTCCAAAGAGGGAAAAGGCACAAGGCAACACCGGGAAGGGTGGTGGGCATAGAGGAATGGCTGGGTATGGAAGCCTGACAGAGACAGAAAACATGCGAAGAGGCGAGCGCAGTCAGCTGTTTTAAAGCACGGGAGCCCGAATAATGTGGTCTGTTGGAAGCGCAGTCTGCCGCAACAGGATTAAGAGAGTGTCCGTAGAAAAGGTAGGCTGCTTGCATTGTGATCGTGCATAGATGCCCAGAGGACTTATTTTCTCTAATTGCATTAAGTATCAAAGTCTGGCCAAATGAATTATTAACTCGCAATGCAGAAGTGGGGGTGGGGAACGAATCCTGTCCTACCTGAGGCTTCCTCTATGACCTCGGATACATTTGGGCCTCAAACCCATCCCGCTAGAGGTGGGATCTGGAATGTGCCCCAGGCGCATATGTGAAAGCTTGGGGCTCCGCTGAGGACTACTGCGAGGCGAGGGAGACTTTAGCGAGGGTTACGACTACACACGAAGTCATAGGTAGTGGGCGGGGCGCCAGTGGGGTACTGGCCCTTCCCCTGTCTATCTCTGGCTTGCCGGCTGCTGAAAGGTGAACAGCTTTTCTACCATCCCACTTGCCACAGACTCCAAGTCAAGGGGACCAACTGCTCATGGCTTGGACCCCCAAAATGAGTCAAGGTAAACCTTCCCTCATTTCGGGTGCATTATCTCAGGTATTTGTTACTGTAAGGCAAAGCTAACACACATCCCAAAAGTGTTGGAGGGTCAGTGGGCTTGACTTAGATAAAATGCTGTAATACACTCTTAACTAGCATTTTGGGGGCATTATTCACCACATATCTACTGAAGTCACAGTCTGTATAGGTTCTTAGCAAATTTTAAGGTTCATGATATTGTCCTAAACCTGAAAAAGCCTTCGTGAAATTTTAAAAGATTGTTGAAAACCATCTTCTTTTTATTTATTAAGGTAGAAATGGCTGGCTGCTACTTGGAGTACTAGAGGTACTTCAGTACTGCTACTGAAGTACTTAGCTTTGACATTTTAAAATAATACTCTTCCCTGGGTACATTATGTGAGATGAGAAAGCTCTGGAGATTGCACAATGATAGTACACTTAACACTACTGAACATACATTTAAACTGATAAGAACAGATACTACAGTTGATCTTAGCCAAAAGGCCACCAAGCAATTGTTTATTTAAAAATAGTTAAGAAGGTAAGTTTTAGGGTATGTGTTTTCTTTTTAAACACAATTTTAAAAACTAAGAAATAATTTTTTTCAAGCTAAAACAAAACAGAAACCATCTCTGGGTTGTGGAATGAACTTAGCCATTATGTTTTCTGCAGCCCAGGTTGCGGGAGGGGGCACCCCGTGGACCGTGGTGTTTTCACTGATGAGTAGTGTCAGAATCAGACTGTTTCCCAGAATTTACAATGTTGGCTGCTATATAAAAGACCAGCAGCTGGACAATAGCTTCAGTTGTGTTAAGGAAAACACACAGACTGTTCACTGCACTTGGGCCCTCTATGAAGGCCATAGATGTTAAGGCAAAGCTGTCTTAGTTACTTTCTCATTGCTGGGACACAATGCCCAATACATACATGTTAAAGGAGGAAAGGTTTACTTTAGCTCACAGTTTGTAGAGGTTTCAGTCCATAGTCAACTGGCTCTGAGGCAGGGCAGCATGGCAGAGGGGCATGGCAGAGGAGAAGCAGTCCATGGCATGGCAGCCAGGAGGCAGAAAGCAGTGAAACTTCCTTTCCCTTTTCATTCCATCCAGGCTACAAGCCTATTGGTTAGTGCCACCTACATCCAGCGTGGGCCTTCTGTCTTCAGTACATCCATTCAGCCATGCTATGCTGAACCAGTCAATGGACTGATCATTTATTTACACACCCTAGGTCCAGTCACCTGTGAAGTGCCCCACCTATGATCCCATGAGACTTTGGGGGGCTATTTAGATACAAGCTATAACAAAAGCTGAGTAAATTATTTCTCTGGAGAATAGAGACTATGATTTTGATACTTTGACTCTTTGTTATCTAATTTAAAGAGAACATTAGTAGAATAACTTCAAAATAACCTCATACTTGAGGGTTCAGTTTGCCCCAAAAGGTATTCAAACTTTTAAATGTATGGAAGCCTGACAGGAATCGCTGTGTGAGGGTGGCCCAGCCTTGCTGACTGTGCGGTTTGTGACAATTCAGTTTAGTCAGTGAGAAGGCCCGAGCCTTAGTTTTTTGTTTTCTAGGTCCCCCAAACTGAGAGCACTGGGCATTTGATATAGTCCTGGCCAGGGATTATTTATTCATTTTACTCAATTTGGGTAAATTGGAAAGGTCTACATAATGCAATGAGGTTACATAATGCAATATCTTCAGTGGAGAGAAAGAAAACTTAAAAGACCTTTGACTCAGGGACCTGCACCAAGTCTTTAGATAACAACTGAAAGTCTCTCTGAGTCTGATTGCATCATTTGAGAGCAAGGCCACTCACATACCTCCATAGTCAGTGAGAGAAAACCACTCGGAACATAGAATTGCAAACTGATGAAAACGGAAGCCCAAAGTAGTCAAATTTAAAGCAAGCAAGCAAGCAAGCAAACAAACAAAGGTATACAGGTATACAAAGGTATACCAATTTCTTCACATTTGTTTTTTGATATAAGGCCAGAAAGGTCCAGCAGGTCCTTCTTATTATTAGTGGCCAGAGCCTCATGGTGTCAGAGAGATTCTTTATTTCCATTAACAAGTATACTAATGTATCTGCAGCCAGGAGCCAGAGCTCTGGCCCCAAACAACGTGTTCTGCTGACCACTGGTTTCCCCTCCCTGGTACACCAGTCCCAGCAGCCCTGGTGTGCAGAGGGCAAAGGAGAACACCCAGCAGCTGTTTCAGGCTTTAGCTTCTTGAGGCTCCTGAGGGCTCTGGTTCCCTGGCCCAGCTGTCACGGGCTCCTGACACTGTGCTGAGGAGCTGTGGCCCCCTTGCTGTCATATCAAGGGAAGTGAAGGACACTGCTTAGGTTGATGGTGAAGAAAGTCACCTCTACCCTGGGTCAATTTCCTGGGATCATGTGGCAAGTAAGTCCTACAGACCAGCCTGTGTAACGGTGTAGGAAGTCAGTGCCATGAGAAACCTGTGGAAGGCAAGTGAAGAGACTATCGTAACTGCCTGGTTAGAAGAGATGCCCCATTTGCTTTTCGCATTTATCCATAAAAATCTTCAGTAACCAGAGAGAAGGAAGCAACCGAAGTTTGCTGTCGCAACTTACTTATGGAAGAGAAGACCATGTATATGTGTTTATGAAGATTCCATACTGCTCCTTTCATTGTTGTGAGTACACTTTCAATATTTGGTTAAGAGCTGAAGACTGTGCCTTCCCCTGCCCACGGAAAAATTCCTTTAAGGAATCATGAGCTCATCAACATTCAGCAGCTGTTTAAAAGGCCATTGAGATTCCCAGAACAGTGCTGGGGAACCGCTGGAATTATGGGCTTGGAGAAGAAGGGAATTTAAGGGGAGGAAAATCAACAATCTAGATTTCAAACCCAGGGGAGACTTCCTTACCTAACCTACGAATCTGTTCCTCAGCAGCTACTGCCAGGTGGAGGAACAGGTGGAAGAAGACAGTGATGGGTCCTTCTGCTCTGGATGAAATAAATGTGGTTCTCCAGTAACCATGGTTACAGAACCCGGAAGACAGCAATATCCACAGGCGCTCGGACCTCTTCTACGAAATGTTGTTGCCTTCACACAGAGCCTACCCAATCCTCCCACGTACTTTAACCTATAGGTGGCTTATAATAGCTAACAGAGTGTACATGCCCTAGAAACGATTGCCATATTGTACTGTTTAGGGACTAATAGCAGAGGAAAAAGTCTGTATAGGTTCAGTACAGATGTGATTTTCTTTTTAACAGTTTCAATCCTTGGTTCGTTGAATCCAAGGACACACAACCAGTAGATATTGGGGTGTAGACTGGTTGTGATGTAGACCAGATTCCCCATCAAGTTGCTTGGGTCCAATCACTGAATGCTAAATGCTCACTTTCCTTTAGAGTCTAGCAATCATTGTTGGTTAATATCCAACAGGGGCTGGTATCCGTCACCTGACGCGGAAGGACTTGGTGCAGGTCCCTGAGTTAAATATTGCTGAAAACTTAAATTGATGTTTTGGGTTCTACCAATAGCTCTTAATAAAGTGTTTCAGAGAACTGTCCCACTTCTCTATAAACTTCAGCAATAGCTCCCTAACTATATATATATATATATATATATATATATGCTATATAATAAACCAGACAACACTTAATGGTTTAAAGCAACTGTTCCACTGTTCCTCAGAGTTCTGTGTATTACCCATGGTCCCTTGGGAAGCTTTAGACTGTGCTGTCACCTGGGGCCACAGTCACCTGCAGGTGTGTTGGGCTGAGTGCCCAGATAGCCACACATGCGCATGCCTGTCAGCTGGGGGATGACCATGGCACCTGCGGTTCCTAGCCCAGGACTTTCTCAGTGTGGCAGGCAGATCTGAGAGGTGGAGTTCTAGGACCCAGTCCCAGCCTAGTATCACTGGTGCCAAAACCCATTGCTTAAGCAGCCACTAGCCATGCTACGTTCAGGATGTGGGAAAACGAATTCTTCTCAGTGGGGAGAGTTACAAGAAATTCTGGCCATCTTTGTCTATCCAATCTCTTGTTAATGAATAAAGCTTTAGGTTACATATAAGTCTATTTGGGGGGAGAAGAAACTTCCTGTCTTACATTTCCTAAACGTATATCTCAACAGACCCTAGATATATCACAAATAATGCCACATTCAACATCAAATTAGGAGAAGCACCACCGTCTGTGCTTTTCTTTATCGCAAATTGTTTACTTCCTAAAAGATATTTTTAAACCAACCGGTTTACCTTTGACCATGGAAACTTGGAACAGAATGGTAGGAACCCTAAAGGCCACAAGGACAGGCTGGAATTTTGAGTTCCTGGCACACAGCCTGAATTAGATTAGAAAAAATGAGAAACTTGGGAAGCCAAGCCCGAGATCATGACTAGGAGGAGGCACATTCTTGGGTGGTGTTTAGTTTATAGACGGCAGTGATCTCAGTGCCCCTTTATGTTCTTAAGAATTGAGGATCTTAAGGAGCTTTTGTTTATAATGGGCTAGATCTACTAGTACTTAGAAAATTGGAAATTAAAATTGAGAAGTTTTAAGAGAATTTATTAATTCCTTTTAAAAGCACAATAAACCCATTACATAAATTCTCTATTTTTATAAAAATAACTTTTCCAAAGCCAAAAACGTTGAATAAGAAGAATGGAACCATTTCAGAATTGTGCAAATCTCTTTGGTGCGAGGCGTAATGGAAGACAGCTGGACTCCCCTCTCTTCGCTTGCGTTTAATGTGAATCTGTTGCAGTGTGTTGTCTTGGTTAATGTCGATGAAGAAAATCTGGCCCCACGTAGATAAGTGCAAATGGGAAAAGGAGAAATTCTTAAAAGCCTTTTCGATAATTCAGGTTCTTGACAAGTAGAGTTTCTAAGCTGTAGTGTGGAATTTGAAACAAATGCCTGGACTCTTTCAGGTCACAGTCTTTTAGGGCTGTTTCACATTCTCCCCTCGTAGGCCAGCTACTGAGGGACCCAGGCTGAGAGCTCACTGAACCTTTTGTAGCCCAGCCCTTCCTGCTGCTGTCTTATTGTCCACAGCTTTGCCACTCTTTAACCTCACAGATGAATCACAGTACTTCTCCGAAAGCTTCTGTCACCCTCCCAAATGAGAGGCATCTCTGTTTCCTTCCATTAATGTTATTATCTGCACTGCTTGTTTGGAACTTAGTAGATGCTGTCAGTTTTCAATTAATTGCCAAGTAAGTGCTTGCTAATTGTTAATTAAGATAATTGAAAGCAGCTTCTTCAACTTTTTTTTTTTTTTTTTTAGTTTTTCCTACAGAAAGAAAAAAAAGTAAACAAACAAAACACCTATGCATACACAAAATCCAAGTTTCTTAATCTGGGGTTTGTGGGTTAACCTGCTGAGGTCCATAATCTGCCTGTCTGTAATTAGGGAGTCTTTCTTTCTCTGTTCCTGCAGACAGTGAATAAAAGTTGGTGATGTGTGATGTCTCCAGAGGTCTCAAAACAAGCTCTAGATTGTTTACTGTAAGCCAGCAGAGGCTGCAGCTGGGAGTCACCCATTCACAACCACTGCTCATTTACCAAATGGTGCTGACGACGCCTCCCAGCACACTGTCCTGTGGGAGGCCTGGTGGGATCAGACATCGTAGGTAGAAATTCAGCAGGGTCGTTCCTAAGGGACCACCACGGGAAGCTGATTCACTTCTCTGTACAAGTTTAATTATCTGGAGACAGAAGGATTTAGATAGTTCAGCTTACAAATCAGGATTTAGAACTTGGCAAGTGCTGGTTTCCTTTATTATTAGGTTTTATCAAAGGGCGCTTTTCTTCCTTGTTCTCAACAGGAGGTCTTGAGCCTCAGCAATCTGGTTCTTGGTCATTGCTTTGGTCTTTCTGCCTTTAGCCTCTTGCTGTTCTGTTAGAGAAGTTGGTAAGCTGTGTGTTTCTTCTTTTTGTTTTTGTGCTAAGTCACCCTTTATCCTCCAGATCCCGCATATGATTGGGCTATGACAAAAATTATGCAGTTGGCTTTTGCCCCATGTCTGTGTACCAAAGCTTAACTTGAGGGCAGCTATTGATGTTGTCCTCCTTGGCGCCAGCCTTATAAAAGCATCTATCTAGTTACCTGTAGCCCTGTCCCCACCAAGAGTGGCTGGGCCCTGACACTTCCCTCCTGGGTCACCAGCTCCTTAGTTAAAGTATGGGGAGGGTCTTTCTCATTGATGGAGCCTGAAGCCAGGAAGACTGCAGTCTGGAGTACGGATGGCCAATCCCAAGCACCTTGGGTCAGAGCAGCATTTTCAGCAGCAATTCCCATACATTTTGTTGAAACTGTTTCAGCACAAAGTTCTCACACGTGAACAGGGCTGAAATGCCAAGCGGCCAAACCAAATGGCTCGTGTTCAGGACTAGGGAAGGGGGTTTGGTCATTGGGGTGCCACCTTCAGAAGAGATTCGTGTAGTAGAGACCGGCTGGTTCCTACATGAGTGTAAAAAGAGAAAGCCTAGCTCTGAGTATCTCTGTCTCCCTCTTTACCTCTTATGCCCCATCACCATGATGTCACTTAATCTAGTACCCGAATTATCTTAGACTCTCAGCCTCTAAAACTGTCAGTGAAATAAACCCTTTTTCTTTAAAGCAGCCAGCTTTGGACATTTTGTTACAGCAACAGAGAATGGATTACTACAACAAGGCACTGTCTGTATCACAGACCTTATTTTTCAAATCAGGAGAGTGGAGTTTTGAAAAGTTAAGTCCCAAGCCCTCCCCAGTGATAAAGTAGCTGAACCAAGACTTGGAACCAAGTCCCAATTTGTCTGTTCACATTCTTTTTAACAGCATATCAAGTAGTAATTAGGTTACTGGTCAGATAACCAATAGTACTGCCCAGAAGAGAAGCCAGGTATGACCCCACCTTCACGTCCTAAGGCGCAGAGGGGTTGGAGAGGAAGATAACATGACCTGATGACCCCAGGAGATAATAGTGGATAGAGCCATGCGGTCCAGCAAGAAACAGGTTAGACCACAAAGCCAGGCAAACTCCAAATGCATGAAGCTCAGTTTTAATGAGGTGACACTATCTGAAGAAAATCCAACTATGACTTCTCTATTATGTACCAACTGCAAGGGAACAGCTGTACCAATTGAAAGGGAACAAGAGGGCCCCAAGGCATTTCAACTTTAAATCCTTTAGCAATGGAAATCTCTTTCTTCTGGGTCACTACTTCCCTGTTTTTGGGGTTAGGTGATAGACAGCCAGTGTCATCTTTTCTCCTTGCTGGGACACAACCCCTGACACCCACAACTTAACGGAGGAGAGGTTTATTGCGCTTACAGTTTTGATGGGTTCCAGCCCATAGCTGACTGTCTCCAGGGCAGAAACAACATGGCAGAAGGGCCTGCCTTGAAGGAGGAAAGCTTCTCAGGCCATGGTGGTCAGGAAGCAGCAAGAGGAGGGAGGAGCCGAGGATGGAAATGTACTGCACCCTTGCAGCTCAGGCCCCCAGTAACCTGCATCTAGCCAGGCCCCACCCCTTAACAGCAAGCCTATTATAGACCCATAATCCATGACCCAGCAAAAGCGCTGCTTCTGAGCGCCTGGGCTTTGGGGAGACATCCAGATCCGAAACACAGCAGCCAATGGCAAGCAGCTCTTGCTAGATGAGAGCACAACAGGAACTAAGATGCTACAGTTGTGGTTCTCTGGGGAACCTCAAAGGCAGAGCAGCACACCTGTTGGGGAGTGCACAGTCAGCAGGTTGCCAGATGTGATGTTCAACAAAAGGCAGCTTTACTTTGGAATAGCAAATACTGCAAAATACAGACACCAACTTCTGCTCTTATCCAAGGAAACATAGAATGAGACTGGAATGTCTCCAGTCTATCCACTTAGCTCGATTCAACCCAAACACTGTACCAGAAAGCTCAGAAGCTTATTTCTTATAATAAAAGTGGCATGTCCTTTCTGTAGAGTCTCCTGGTAGATCAATGTTACACAAATTTCTTGGATTTTTTTTTTTTAAATAAAAGAGTTTTCACCTAAATT